GTGTAATTCCAAACCATTGTCTCTCATTCATAAGTGCAATATACAGTATCGGTCTCTAGACCTGGGATCACACATTTGGCTCTATCCAAACACTTTCCAGTTCAACTTGCCAAAAAATTGAACAGTCAGCAATCTCTTTCTATCAAATTTAGAAATGTATTAGGAGCAATTTATTATTCCCAAGAGCTAATGCCAGTGACCAAGAACCTCCTGCCACGTAGCAATGAGGGAGCCTTTCTTAGAATTTGAAACTTCCCTCCTTGCTGACAGGTTTTTGGATTCATTAACCAATTTTAATACAGTTAACAGGAGTTACAACAAATATGCTTAGGTAATATCAATCTGATTAAAAGACATTATCATTAGGATCAGTTTCAAGTGAATCACCCTATAATTAACCTCTGTTGATTAGGTTTTTTCCACATACTGACTGGCAAGCATCTAATTTTTCTCATTCCCCTTAGACATGGCTTATTTCAATATTTGTTTAAGAACAAAAGAAGTAACAAAAAACCTCACCAAGACTGAAGTGCAAAAACAATTAAATAAAGATTTTCCTATGCTAACAGGATCTGCCAATTTCAGAAATGTTTATTAGCCACTATTTAATATAATCCAAACAATAAAGAAGTACTGGATTATCAGTGTAGTATAATTACATCATTAAAAAGAGCAAAGCAAAAACAACTGCAGAATATTTCTATATTGTAGACGTCGCCTTGGCATTTATCCACATTTTGTTCTTCTCCCCATGACAACCACAATTTCTTTCACTCAACAGCAAAAAGTATGCAAGACTATCTCCTCCTCCACCATTTCACCTAAAAATGACAACATTAAATAAAAATTCGTAACTCACAGTTGCATTTATCACACCTACACTATCTTTCTGTTTTAAAAACCCTGTGATGTACGTCCTCACCTATTTTACTGAAAGAACTTGTCAAGCAGGAAGCTTCTTGCCTGGCTATTTCCTCTGATCTTGTCCCCTTAAGCAGTTTGTCAATACAGAAGTTTAGTTTTGTGCAACAGACTAATCCTAGACATTTTAAAAGGTACAGACTACCAGTAGTGTTTGAAGTTTGACTTTTCAGGCACTATAAAAATAATACTAATTTAGAGTGAAATAATCCACCAGGTTATCACGTCTAGTCATTTTCCAAATTTTCAGTTGATGTTTTAGATTTGGACTATTTAAATTTAAACTTGGATGCATCCCAGATAAAATATTACTTGGTCTATTGGAAGAAGTATTTAAGCTAATTTTTTTTTTTTTTTAAATAAAAGACACTGCCATATGCAGAAAGAGATTCTATGCTCCTTCTCAGAATCTTTTGCAAAAAGGTGCTCTCACTATGCTTCATTCACAAAAGATATAGACAATTAAGGAGGGAAAAAAAAATTCTCCTTAATCAACCTCTTATTATTTTAACCTCTCCTCACAGATCTTGAATCAAGTGGTCTATTTTCAATACTGTTCTCTTCTGGACTCCCCAATTCAGCAAGATAACTTTGATTTCTTTGTGTGAATTAAGTGTACAGTTCCAAATTGGACACAATTACCTAGTTGACTCCATTTCTATCCTAGGTTGTGCAGAGGGATTTACATCAGTTTTACAGTGTTGAATGACAGCACTTTCATTTACTCATCCTGAACTCTCAGAACTACTTTTGGTGCATGATACTCTTGATTTAAGGTCAGCTCTTAAACCTCAATCTCTTTCTTCAGAACTCTCAGCCATTCCTTATCCTGGACTCGCCTACCTTCCTCTTTAATTTATAAGCAGTATTTTAAATTTGCCCTTAATGGCTTCAATCCCATTTTTCCCTGCTCATTCTAATTTCTTGTTTCATGTTAAATTCTCCTCCAACCTTCCAACCTTTCTGCAGTGTCTCAATCTGGTATCATTTTTCACTGCAGTAAACATGTGTGTCAATAGATCCATTAAAATCCTCTTTTCTTGAAAAGAAAAACATAAAAGACTGTTGTTTGTGCTTCTGCATCAGAAATGACTTATCTAGAACATACTTTTAATAAAGAATATACTTCAGAGAGACAGAGGAGCAGAAAGCAATCTTTCAAAGAAGAATCCAAGCTAAATGTCTACCAGGATAGAAGAGCACACTGAAGCCAAATATTAGAACAAGAAACAGATTTTGCTGATCCTCAGGCAAGAGGGAAAGTAGCAAGTAAGATCATAGATACTCCAGAACCACAGACAGACAGTCCTGATAAAATGGCAGGGCTAAAACAGCAACATATCCTCCTGAAAAGGTATATTCCATCAGGAATCATATACTGATCTATTTAGATATGTAGAAACAGAGAATACCTATCCAAGATTATAGGTGCCCTTACAATAAATAAAACTCAAGATATACAGGCCTTCTCCAGAGATTAGTTTATCTTGAAAAGCCTATTGCAGATTAATCTAATTTACAGAATATCTGAGAAAGGATAAGAAAGTGTTTTAGAATGCAATAGAAAAATGTTGATTTGATCTTTATTTCTCAACAAACTACAGAACAGCATTTCAGAGATGGAATGGATTAGACTAAGTGTGAAATATGATTTGGGAAGAAAAAAAGGAAGGGCTACCATGGAAACGTTTTTTATATCTGAAAAGAATCAGAAAAAAAATATTAAGTATATGGATGATAACACATATTTCCCAAACCAGACTACAATAGCAGAAAATAATTCCAAATCCAGCTTGTTACAAAATCTGACCAGAAGCAGGAATCCAACACAATCCATGAACTGCATGATCAAGTAATACAGGAAAGATATCACCTTGTAGTGCTCAGTTACTTGTCTCAACCCACCAGCACTACCTAGATCTTACCTAGACAGTAAGCCCAAATCAGTTTTTCTCCACTGCTCAACCTCCCTCAGTAAATTGAGCAATGCATATACCAAACCACTGGCTTAACTATAGCTCCAGGCACTTCAGTTTATAGATCTGTACAAATCCTTTTAATTACCCTCCCACACAAACTACAAAGAAAAGGCAAGAGGAGGTTTCATGAAGCTCTCAACCACTGTGCCTCTCTTGCTAAAAGAAGGAACACACCTCTGCTAAAGTCAACCCATCACCACAGCTTCTGGACAAATCAAGTTAGTGTGAACAACAGGAAGTACAAAAGCAATTAATTACATATGCATGTATGCCTGCAAGCAGGCTCTCACAAGGAAACAAATTTTAATTTACAAAACTTTGAATCAAGATACAAATTGTTTTACTACATAATGTCATGTACAAGGGACCAGCTGATTCTGACTACAAATGAGGTTTTGAGAGGTCATGAAAGTTCTTCTACCTTTCATTCATTTTCAGAGCCTGGAGCACACAGATACTACACAGGGGGCTGGAGAGTTGGAGGGTGGGGGAAAGATTGTTACAGATTTCCTGGTTACCTGCTAAGATCTTTTTTCTTCTGAATCATTGTTTCTACTCCATTTCAATAAACCATTCCAACTAACTGCAATGGCTGGGAGGGATCTGGCAAGATTAGCCACTTCTAGTCTGAAGCTTCCACAGAAGCCTGTTCTTCTCCACAGTCAAATCATGTATTCCCAGCCTAACAATTTCAAGAGAGCGTGCCCACAAACTGCTGGGCAAATCCACTGACTGGCAGCTGCCTAGAGGGACAGGTGATGCTCCCACACTATTTCCTCCTGCCTGAAGAGTCTCTCTGTTTCTTTGGTACCATTTGGACACTTGTTTGAACAGCTGTCTGAGCTGATCCATCCCAAAAGCCAAGAAATAAAACTAGCCACCTTTCCCCTGGATTTGTGAGATAAATCAATTAACTAGTTTCAGTAGGAGTCAGACAGAGAAGAAAGCTGGGTTCAGGAAATGGAAACAAGTCCTTTCACCAACAGGAAGAAGTTTCACAACAGCTAACCCAGTTTCAAGACACTTACCTGGACACTTGGAAAGCTATCACCATATTCTTTCTTCTGGGCAGGCCAGAAAATCCCTAGAATGTTACTTGAAATCCCACTATTTTTTTAATTTTTCTTTTTTCTTTTTTTTAAATAAACCATTCATTAAACTCTTACAATACCACAGTACTTCCAGAATTATAAGTGCACAAAATAAATCGAAATAATTGAGAGCACTTTAGATATTGCCAGCCTGACAACCACTAGTGAAGTTGGGTGAACTGTAAAGGCATCAAATCTGCAAAAAATTTGCTTGAACTCTTAGTCTAATTTGTTCAATTGTGAAAGTTTAAGAAATTTTCACAACTTTCTTATCATAGTTAAGAATAATGATCATAACAGTTTTTCTGCAGTTGCATCAAAAAAAAATAATGTCATAATATGCTTAGTTTATAAGTTCACACCCAGATTCAAGTTTCAGTGAACTTCATTATTTAAGCATTCTTCTCAAAAAGAAAGAGTTACCTTTCTGTAAAGGCAAAACAGAGTTTTATTTAAATTTTTAAAAAATGTGTCCTCAAACATGACTATTATGTACTTGCCCAGACCTTGAAAAGCATAAGAATCTGAAGTATTAAATAGCACTGGATCTGGAATATCCCAGAGCACACAATACCTTCCACCCACAACAGCTTAGTTGCTTATATCTCTTGAAAACCTTCATGGAGTAGGGCCTGTGCCCAGCCTCTGCAGAAGTACAGCTTATCCCTGAGAAATAACATGTCATAGCTGCAGTACAGCTGGAAAGGGCCCAAAAATACTGCCAAATGTATGCATGATTTTGTATGTAAGACAGAGGGTACGTAACAAAACTACCAAAGAATTTCTCTTTTTAGAAATGAGCAGCAAAGAGAAGGGAGAGAAATAGATGTAAGGAGAAACAAAAGGTGAAATGGTTATCTGACTGACCCAGTTTGTCAGTGATCACTCAAAACTTAAGGACCTGACCTCTCTTTTGCAAAGTTTCCTTTTCTCAGCTGACAAAGACTTATGAACAGAAGAGTAGTTTTCAGTTGTGAAGGCAACACCACAAAGAATGAAAAGTACTTACTTACAAACCAATAATTATTGTTTAAATTAATATTTTTGGGGATTCTTCTTCCTCACTTTCATTTTGAAGCATAGGCAACTCTCTGAAAGTAGAAGAGAAAAAGATAATTAGTTTTCATCACAGAATCATTTAGGTTAGAAAAGACCTTTAAGATCACCAAGTCCAGCCATAAACCTACCACTGCTAAGTCCACCACTAAACCATGTCATTAAGAGCCACATCTTTTAAATTCACCCAGGGATGGAGGCCCAACAACTTCCCTGGGCAGCCTGTTAGAGTGCTTGACTACTCTTTTAGTGAAGAAACAACTGTTTTAAACAAAATCTTACTTTGGGATTAGCAAGGCGTGGAGTTCATCATTTCCTAACAGTTGTCTCACTAATTCAGAATGGCAGCACGCTACTGAACTAAATGTTGATTTCTGGCCATTTAACAGAAAAGCAATCAAAAGCTGCACTATCAGACTGAAACAGCAATAAATTGGTTGTTTAAAAAGCTTATTTGTGAACCTGACTTCAAGGAAAGGAATGAAAGCAAGAAAAAAAAATAAACAGGAAACCAATTAAAGCAACAATAGTACTAGGAACAGGAAAAAAAAAAAAAAAAAGATAAATGCTTCAGATAACTGACTTTTACTGCAATGAAAATTCTACCAAATTAGTTTTATTTTTGAATGAAAATGAAGTGATTTTTCTATTTCAAAGAGAAGCTCCAGCAGCTGTACTGTTAAATGAACAAGGTGAACTGGCAATTCCAAAGCTCTCAAAAGGAGCAACAGTGATAAAAAAACAAATCTGAATTCTGTGTTTTCCTATTCATGTAATAAATTATTTAAAGTAATCAGCACCTACAAAGTCAGAGCTCATGAACTTCCAAAAATGGAAAGCCTGAGGGAAACAGGGAGATAGCCTATTTTCACTTCTATTTGAGATTGATAGTTTGGGTATACTTGGCTAAGGCACTCAATGAAAAGGTTATAGCTTTTGCTGTGATAAAGTATCTCAGAAATTCAAACAAAAAAAATACAACCCAGTTACTTCATGTATAAAAAGTAAAGTGAGAAAAAATAAACTCATTCTTTTATTGTAGCTTTCATCAAATCAGCTACACTGCCTGCTTCACAAAAATGGAGAGGTGAAACTTTCAGCTGAAGGTGACTCAAGAAGCCAAGCAGAACAAAATTTGCAGTCCACTTGTTCCAAGAGGTAGCCCTACAGGGAAAACATTAGGGCATGGTCTAGAATTATGTTTACTTTTGTATGATGTATTTTCTTACAAGTTCATATTTCCAATCTCATTAACAAGTAGAAGGTAGTACATTATGTGAGCCATACATATCGAAAAATAGATTTAGACAGATTGGCTCATGGTAAACATGAAGTGGAAACATCTATATTTCATATAACAACAAGAACTATTACTAAATTTTATTTTTAAGCAATAGAATTGCAAGCAGTACCAAAAGGCCTTCCAGTCCTATCAGGCTGGGGAAATCACCATGCCCTACACTACTAAGAGGAGAGAAATAAAGCTCTTTGGGTTTTTTCCCCACACTTCCATAAAAAGAATACAGTCACTTTACATAAATTGTGATTACCTTAAAACAGCCTACTCTGAAACATTCAAAACTAGCAAAAATTTCACAATTCTACAGCTTAGTATTGCTAATAAATCCTGAGATTTGAATTCTATTCATGTAAAAACCGAAAGTATTTTTAAAAAATCTTTGCATTTGTGTTTCAACCACCTCAAGAGTATTTACAAATATCATTAATTAGATAGTGGTTCCTTCCAGAGAAATTTGCCCTCTTACACAGATCTTTTCAAAAATAAAGGTCATGAAGTGACCTTATGGATGGGAAATTTTAGTTATATGCCCAGATATGACTTTGAATTGCTGGGTGTACACAAACTAGTCATTACCTTTTTTCTTTTTTCTTTAAATTAAAATATATATACATCTTTATAAAGGATTCAGCAACTTCTGCAATGCTCAATCCAGTCTTCTGCATTACAATCAAAACATTCCATCAACACTTTTCATATAATTTAAGTTGCATTTTAAAAAGACACAAAACTTGAAAGCACAAGAGCAAGGTAATAGAGTTCAAGATGCCACACTTTAGTGACTGTAACTAGAGAAGTGTTAGATGAAAATACCTACATAACCTTAGGAACAAAGAGGGTTGCAGCGTGGAGGAAGAAAAAAGGAAACATTTCTCCCATCCCTTCTCCATTTGACTGGGGCAAGCTGATTTAATTCTAAACACAGACACTAGACCCATATGCCAGGCCAGGACTACTTTCCCAATACCACAGGACAAATCAGACTCACCACTCAAAATCCCACTTTTAGAGAACGGCAAATTGTCTCTGCTTCAGAAGAAAACAAACTATGCACTAAGAGAAAAATTAAAAATAATAAATATCTCCTTCAGATATGTACAGGATACCAGTGGTAGCTCTAAGGAACAGAATTTGTAAAACTGAAAACTTTATTACAAATAACAATCAAGTATTTCCCTATCTGCTCTACCATCTTTCTCAGAGGTTTCTGTTACTCTAGTACCAAGAAATCTCCAATGATAATTTTTAATTTCTGAGTCCTGGATCAACCTTATCATCTTACATGGTATTCTTACATAAATATGTAAAAGATCATCTTGAACCACTGAATTTCTTTCTCCCCATTACTGAGACTAGACCTCATCCTCTGATTTTCAAACAAGATTTGTTCTTAAATTTATGCCTCAAATATATTTATTTTCTGATGTTTCTCTCCCATAAATGCCCCCTTACCCAATAAAGACTATTGTTATTTATTCCCAGGTCTCAGTTGACAAATGCTTTCTTTCTCCTTTAAGAAGGCAAGTTCAGCTTAATCACACTAACAGTTCTTTCTTACCCAAATGACTTGCTCTTTTCTGAGTGTGACTGTGATCAGAGCTAATGCAAATCTAAATGTAAATCAACAAATGCTTTATTGCCTGGTCCTAAAAATCTGTTTTTAAAAGCTACAAACCAGCTGGTGTGATTTAGAATCACGTTACTCTCACCAAGCCACATCATCTGAGAAGGAAGCAGATCAGGAGCTGGGTCATACAACAGCAATCTGCCTCTGATCACCAGTCTGGTTTTATCAGGAGTTCTTATCAGTGCTCATATAAGTCTACTCCTAAGCGTGACAATCCTACCTTCTCCAGAACAAGCAATTTCTGAAGCCTACAGACCAGCTACTTAGTAAAGTCACCTTCATATTCCACTGCTGGCTCTCCAGCTACAAGTTTCAAGAGAAGTGACTGTACCTATGTTAGGGAGAACACTGCATGAAAAGAATCTATTTTAAACAATTTAAGCACAACAAAACCACTTCAAACAAACAAAATCAGTAAATTGGTAAAGAAAAAGAAATAGAAAATTACTCCTCCGGGAAGCCCAAGTGAGGCTCAGAACATGATTTTATCAGTATCTTTCTCACAGAGAAGTAGGTATATAACTGAAAAACTGAATTTCATTTCTCCTATACCCATCAATCCATCTGTCTGGTAGCACTGCTAATTTCTGGTACTAAGCAAATTTCTTAAAACAAGTATGGAAAGGAAAACATCCCAAAGAGACAGAAGGAAAATGAATCTTTTTCATGTATATATTAAAAAAAAATCATATAGGGTTTTCTATATACATTATATAATGGTTTAGGGTTTGGTTTTGTTGCATTTTTTTTCTTCAGATTCCTTACTGCTAAGAGCTAAAAAAGTTGGCATATGCAAGGTACAGACTCAAATCATCAAACTTCTACTGCACAGAGAAGAAGTACACAGGAATCATCTGTTTTGCAGAGAAGTGCACAGGATTCTTTCTGCAATTCAGTTTTTTATAGGAGGCTCCCCTTCAAACAAGCTTTGATTACCGCTGGTTTGAAAAGGACATACAAGTTGGTCAACGAAATTCCACTTTCAATCAAGCCAGATCTGGGAGAATTATTCCTCAATATTCATCAAAATAAACATAAAATACAAAAATCTCCACAGTACTTTGCCACTTTGACCTTGTTCTAAGAGCACACCATTTTTAACAGCACAAACAACAATTAGGAACAAAATTTGGTATCATTAAGTGCTTATCCTTTACAGAAGAAAATATAAAATAGTTGTTTTAAGGTACAAAATCTCTTCATGATATTGAAATTTTAACACATAATGGTTTCTCAAGGCACAAACTCAGAACACTCCACAAAACTGATGCAGTAAACAGAACAGTGCACAGTCCACTGACTTCTTTCATGGGCATATTAAAGGGGCAAATAAAGAATTAAGTTATAAAATACTATCCCAAATATAAACACATTTTTAATCCATCCACTTGCCAAGAGCTAGGCGACTCAGAAGGAAATAAACCTATTTTGAGAACTTGAGAACTGCACCGTTCTCAAGTTCTTTCCTGCTCCTCTCCCTCAAGACACATTGGCCCAACCACTTGACTAATTTCTCCCTTTTATTTACATGGCCCTAGCTGACACATCCCATTATTCCTGGAAGAAACATCACTGTTGTTCAGTGTCACTTTACAAAGTTTTGTGTATGCTAAAGTGACATTGCTAATACATTACACTACTTCATGTGTAGTGCAAATTTGGGGAAAATTTGGAAAAACACTTCAAGCAGTGGACCTCTTTTAGTTCTTTCAAATCCAGGAAAACATATGCTTCTTTTCCCCAGAGTTCCACTTTTTCTCAGCCATGTGAAGTGCCATCTGTGCTTCCCAGCCTGGCAGGCTAAAACTCTGCTGTCATTCAAATCACCAGTGAGCAAATTAAAGGCAAAGACTGTCCTCTTTAATAAAATAACAAGACTTACAAATGGCAACCTAGATCACAGCTCCAAAGGAATGAGTGGCAAGCGTGGGTAGCTAAAGGGTCACAGGGAGGAGAAGGTGGCAAACAGTAGAACATCTCCAGAGCTTCCTTGCAAACTTCTGCTTGTCAGCACACTAATACAAGAACTGTGGGAATGAAAACAAGGGTAGCTGGAAATCTCGACAAGTAAACAAAAATATAACTCAACTGACACAACACATTTTGTGAGGTACTCCATCCTGTTAGAAGGCATACTTGGCTCAGGGAACATGGATATATAAGGTGGGGCAGGAAGGAAAGGAAATCTTGTCTTGAGCATGTTAAGATTAGAATATCTGTTCTGAAATAAAGAATGCAACAGATGCCAAATATTCTGCATAACATTAGAATGGAGAAGCTACAGTGAGGAGGAAAATGTTGACCTCCTATAAATCACCAAACCAGAAAATTTAAGTGGATGAGGGTGTTAGAGGGACTGTTGAAATTGTTTTGGATTTTTTTTTTTTTTTGGTTGTTGGGTACTGTTTGGGGTTTTTTTCTAGACAACTAGCAGAGTGATTCAAAGCACAAGATTTAATATTAATGATTCACAGAGTAGGCCTTTTAGGAAGCAGATAACAGATAAAACTGAGCTAACCTCCAGTTGGTAACCGGCTCAACTATTGCCTTTAAAAAAGTTAACCTTAAAGGTTACATCAATACATTAATGGCTAAAACCTTCCCAGAGACTGAAATGCAAATCATCGTGTCAGAACAAGTCCTGAAATACTTTTGATAAAGGCCAACTGCACTCTCCCAACCTCTGGGAACAATCTGAGGGTTATCACATGGCTGGGAAAACTTCCAGCAGTACTGAGCACAGAGCTACCTGTTTTAAGGCTGAAAGATTAACAGAAAGGACAAATCTCAATCTGTGCCAGCTGTCCTCAGTAACAAACAATGGTCCACTTTATTAGTGATGATGCAGTCAAAAGGGATTTGAAATCAAACCAGCTTAAGGAAACTAAAATTAAGTGCAGATAAAGTCTGGAAAAGTACATTAAAAAAAAATAAAAAAGGAGAAAGTAGTAACTATCTTTAGAAATTCAACCAAAAGAATGAGAAAATTTAAAGGAAAGAAAATCACACAGACAGAACACTCTGTAGATACAGGGTAATGAATGAAAAGACTAGAAAAAAAGCTATCAGGAAAACCCAATTAAGAATGCTGTTAAGTGAGAATACAGTGAACATATAGAAGGAACAACAATCTACGAGCTGAAATGCTGGAAAAACCCATTCATTTAAAAATAGGTCAAGAAACAAAATTTTAAAAAAATCAAACCTGGGCTTGAATTTGAGGTAGAAAATTGTTCATGCCTCATGTTTATTTGATATCTGTTGCACTAATTATTTCAAAAGAGAAAATCAAAATCCATCCTACCAAAAGACAATGTTTGACAGTCACAAGAAAAAAAATATCAGCAAGCTTCATAGAAGACAGACAGTACCATACATGTCACTGAAAAACAACTGTGATGTTGAAAACACAGCACAAAGGAACATGGCTGTAAGCCAACAAAAGTCTTATTTGTTTCTAGTTCATATTTATATAAAAAGCTAAAGAACCTTGCTTTTTATTTTGCAGGATCATTTTAAAGTGTGGAATTTAATTCACGCTATTAAAGTTCTGACATAAAGCAGGTAAAGTCTTTTAAAAATTAAAAAATATACACCTTACTACCCACTGCAAATACCAGCTACCCCTACAAATACCATTACTCAAGTCTTTTACAGCTGGAGAAAATTTATATTGAAAAATACTTTAACACACAAGAGAAATACCAACACCAAGAGAATTATTAAAAATCCTCGATGTGTGAATTGAAACAAATTATTTAGTAAACTAAAAGAAAGAAACCACATTTTCTATTGTGCCTTAGATGCCTCACTCTTTTCCTTCTTGATTTTTTTCCAACCTTCTGGAAAAGGTACGTTTTTCAAACCCACCTACCGTGAGCACATGGTTTGATTTTGCTCTGGAAATTATACTAGGAATTCATACATAATTTTCAAACAAGAACCAAATAAAAATCATAGCGTTTTATTCCAAAGTCTATCATCGATCAGCTTGAATGACTCTGCTTTTATTAAGTGACTGGTCAAGTAGCAGTGCATTAACAAGATTGTGGTCAACCTCACTGCTGTGACTCAGACCCATACCAGCAGCTGTGCAGATTTCAAAGATAGTATCAATTCTGTACTGCTGCCACTGCTCCTCCGTGGGAAGGCTAAGAACAGATGCAAGCAGCGTTCAGCAACCAGGAAGCTGAGAAAAAAAGGAACACACAAGACTGCTTCCCTTGAGAGAGCAGTGCAGCTCCATGTTTATCAGACACGGTAAATGTTCATGTTTATCAGACAGGTTAATCAAAGGTAGATCATCAAACAAATCTTCAAACAAAGTCAAGAAGTCTATCAAATTTAAGATCCTGGCAATTAAGATCAAAGAAGTGGTCAAGGCTTTTCAATAACAAAATCTGAAAGACCTTCCTGCAATGTAGGTGCCGGATAATGAAGGAAGCTGAAAATCTGTATTAAATATAATTCCAACAGTATAAATATAATAAAGAAAACCCATGCAATTTTTATCATTCAGTGTAACAGAAAATGCCTTTGAATACATTCCTTGATACTACACACCGAGTTCTATGGAATCTAAATGTTAGGGAAAAAAACATGTACTAATACTAGAGTACATTTCATTTCAGAGATTTCAGGTCTTTTAAGTTGCTGGTATTTGAAAAATTTTTGACATCTTTTCCTTGAGCAGGCTTCATCACAAACAGACTAACAGCGTGATACTAAAATATTATTCCTTCAAATGTACACTTCAATGTTCCTCCTGAAATGGTTGTTATTTTTCTACCTCCCACTTTTACTATCCATTAGCCAATCTTTTATAACTTTCTTACTTCTTTCATGCTTAATTTATGAAGAAAATGTTTAGCAAATTATACCTATGTCCTTCCTACATAGGGATAAAAAGCAAAAAAGTTAATACCTATGTCCTTCCTACATAGGGATAAAAAGCAAAAAAGTTATATGTTGATTTTTAATCAAGTTGAATTTCGCTTTTTATTTAAGTTTATAATGTATGAAGGAGCGCGGATAAACACTGCAATTAATTTACTGTGGGTTAAAGGCTCCACAAAAAATGTTTCATTCATACCCAACGAAAAGTATACAGTGGTAGTAATGAGGTTTCCCTACACTACCCAGTGACTGTGGTCATGATTGTGAGACACCCTATGTGACCAGTATAATCTGGTATAATTATATAGTTTTGCACATAGATCTGTCCATATGCATATGCAGTACTCAAACACCAAGAGATACAGAATCAAGAAAAAGGTGTTTCTTCTAAATCCTGATCCCAGTAACAGGACAGTAGGAAATGGATGAACTCTGGGAAATATGAAAGTACAGACATTGAGACAATGTTTAAAAACAAAAATCATATGTAGTCTTAAGCCTGATATACAAGCAAAATTTGTAGCAGCTTTCACTGTACACTTAGTTTTACAGAGATACAGCTTGACATCAGTGCTGTCCATCACTGAACTCATTAGAGAGCCTACTGGATAAAGAAGGACAAACTTGTCACTACACTTCATACATTGCCATCAGGAAATAGAAAGTCTAAAGCTGAAAATGTACAAGATAAAAGACAGATGAGACACAAAATACTTTGTTGAAGCTCAAAATGCACCCTCAAGAACTAATGAGTCTGCCTTCCAAATATCTCTTCTCTACACACTATACGTGCTGTCACCAATTACACATATGTAATTAGCGCAATTAAGGGGAGACAGACACCTGTAATAGTACAAGTGTCATTAAAAATCAGTTCAAATTACAATATTCCATTCTGGTTTATCATTGTTTATTCTCAAATACTGTGACACTATTTTTTTTATGTTAGCACATACTAAGTGCACACCTGGGACTATCCACCTTCAAAATAACAGTAAGTCTTCACACAGCATGTCCAAACACAGCTGAAGAATTCTCAGACGGGAATCCATGGTTCACAGCATCTTTTTCTATCTACAATCACAGCTGACTTAACATAAGAAAAAAAAAAAAAAAAAAAAAAAAAAGGCAGAACCTAAGGGCCCTGAGTTCTAGGTACAATTCAGCACCAGGTAATGACAGTTAATAAACACCATATTAATAAAATGTTTTCAAGCAAAAACCAAGGAAAGAACTGTCCAAAGGAGCATTCCAAATGCTTCCATTTCACGTTATCAATGATTTCAAAAAGAACAGTTAAAACTATGACCTTTTGTGATAAGATATGCCTAAATCAGATAAATAATCAATTTCATTGTGGTTGCTTCTGCCAGGGATGGTAAGAAGTTAAATACTAGACAACTGTAGAAGACTTCAAGAGAAAAGCCACTAACAAAAGGTTATCAATCTAAAGATTCCCTATTTGCTTATGACTTCAAGGAGCTCTTGCATAACAGAATAGCACAGAGAACATTAAGTACACAAGCAGTTCTTTACTGCCCTAGAAGTCAGATCACAGTAAAACCCTTTAAGAAACAAAAAACTGGCTAAATAAGTTTGACTTGAGGTTGCCAGTGACTTTCACCCACTATTTACAAACTTCTCAGCAGGAAACAATTTCCAGGAACACCTAGGCTGCACCTTTGCTGTCCAGCACAATATGACCATATTGCAGCATTTTTCATCAGCGCCACGAGGAAATATATTTAAATGAAAATTTAAGGACTGTGAAAAAGTGTTTCTGTATTTATATTAGCTATATAGACATGAAGAAAATCAAAAGGCCTGACTCTGCATGAAAGCTGTTCAGAATCTGCATGTGCCTTCAAGATAGCACTCTGAAATAAACAAGATACAATTCTGCTAACTATTTTTCCCACTTGTTTTCAAATATAACCATATAATTGATACCTTGGTTAGCATTTCTGATGGGACACTAAACCATTACCTCCATTTATAGCTCAGATTTTTGAAAGCATAAAAAATTAGTCATATAAATCTATAAAATCAAAAGGCCAAGATGAATCATTTTATTTTCTAAACAATCTATAGAAAACACCTCTCCTGTGAGGAAAGACTGGCAGAATTTGGTT